AGCCTGTGGCAAAGAGAGATCCCCAGATCCGTAAGATCAAACCCCGATATCAGATATCATATGAATCATATCATCAGATTGTCACATATTATCGAATCATATCAATCATATCATATCCTGGATTAAATTAGCTATCTTGACTCGACTCATCTCTATCAATCACAAAAACCATGCAACCTGGTGGCCCTCCGAATTCCAACCCGTCAACAAATGGGACCTTGGTGAGTTTGGTGAGGTGTGATTGCGTGAAGTGTCACCATCCGGTTTGGCTTTCTCATTGACAATGTACCAGACCATGCCAAAAGAACAACTACTACAAACCAAATTTCTATTGATTCATAGTCATAGTCCATAGTATAGTCAGAGTCATTGTCATTCAGTGTTGTGAACTGGACGGTGGAAATCTCTGAAAACACAACTGCAGCAAAGGTCTTCGGTTAGTCTTAGTCAGGTCAGGTCAGGTGGTCTATTCTCAAGGTTAAGGTGAGAATCCTTTCCCACCCCTCTTCCCCTTCACGCAAACAGACCGGACTCGGATCTTTCACAGGCAGTGGGCCAATGGCATGGATGCAAACGCAGGTGCATCATCAGCGTTCAACTATCGCAACTCAACTAATTAATTGATTGAGATGCAGCCACCGGTTCACGAACTGGGCCGCAATGTCTCAATAATTGTTGGCGCATGGCCGTGTGCTGGGTAAAGCAAACGACAATAGAAACAACCGCATTCAGGTCGGTGTTGGGCGTCCGAAAAGAAAATCTCATCTGGGATTGGGTACACTCGGTTCCTCGAGACAACACTGTATGTGCTGGGCCACTCTCTGACCCCAGCTACAGTCACCTCGTCTTTGTCAACGTCGATCACAATCACTGAAGAGCCTCTAGAACCCATTTCATTCACATCAATAATATCATTGGACTCGGACTCATTGGAATTGGCATTGGTGCCTCCAGTACCACTACCCACTGAACTAGGATTGGGATCGCCCATGACATCGGCATCGTCCAGAATATCGGGCAATCGTTCATATGCATTCTGCCTTCTGAGAGTGCACTTCTTCTTCTTCTGAACAAGGTTCTTACAAGCCATGGTGGTCAGAATCCTGGAAACCCTGGGCCTGGGCCAAATGGGTGACAGTCTCACTATCGTCATCAAAGTTGGTGGCAATCATATGTCCAGTCCGCAATCTACACTCCAGACTCCAAACAGTTTAGGTCACGGTCCAATCCTCAGTCAGTCACCTAGCCTAGTCTGGTCCGTCTCTCTCTCTCTCTCTCTCTCTCTTCATGATGATGATGATGATGATGATATGATATGATATGATATGACATGATGATATGATATGATATGATATGATATGATATGATGACATGGTATGATTCGGATAGGATTCCAGGAGATATGATATGATATGATATGATATGAATATGTGATCAGTGACCAGTGATCAGTGATATGATATGGATATGGAGTACGGTATCGGTATTGACATGTATTGTCGGCGCTACTACGGTACTGTACTACCACCACATCAGGTTGGCGGGCTACACATTGCCATGCGCTTGTGACCGCCTGCTGGAATCACTTGAAAAAAAGAAAAGAAATTACAGGGTCTCTGCAGGATGTTGAAGAAGAAACTGAATAGTCCGAGTCCAGTTACAGTCTGTGTCTGAGGCAACTAGCTTAGCTAAGCTACATTAAAAGAACATCTGTGTACCGGACCCTGACTCCAGACTGTCAACACACCCCTCCTCCGAAGGACAGCACGATTTTTTGCAATGGACCCTGTCCATGTCAATGTCACATGTCATTGTCACATTTCCAGTTTTTGGAGAGTGACCAAACAGCTCAAATTTCTCAACCGACGCTGCCACGTAAAGCTGCCTCCAACGAGCAAATAGCAGCACTGATTTCAGAAGAAATTGGTCCACTTTTGGTTTTCTCAAGAAAGGTAAGCGCTTGCTGCACATCAGCAGCTTCCTGCTTCATGTAAGGAAATGCACACTCTGAATGCAGCCAGCAGTGGAATTTCTGCCTGTGGTACGAATACCCAAATCGAACTTGGCCACGTTGAATGTGTTTTCCACAGCTGCGACATCTTGCTAACCTGGCAGCAACCTGGGTCCCCACTTCAACAAGCCCAATGACAGTATTGCACACTATTGGGGCAGCCTTGGCCACTGCGAAAAGTTTTGACCCGCTTGATGCTGCTCCTGCAGCCTCATCTCTTGCCTGCATCAACCTTTCATGGCTCTCCAGGACCTTCACTGTTTCTCGCTCTTCCTGCGCTGCTGCAGGTGTACGAACCAACTGCTCGAAACACTCTGACTCTGACCCTGAAGAAGAAGATGATGACGTGGACGACGATGAAGAAGACCCGGACATAGGTGATTCACCCTCAAATGATGGTGACTCACCATGTGTGACAGGATTAGCAGATCTGGGTTCCAAGCTGGAACCTGCCAAGCTGTCTCCACGAGTGCCCATCAAATCAGGCACATGAAGATTCTGACTCCCTGCAGCTGCTGGCTTTTTTTGTTTTTGTCTCCGAGGCTTTTGTGGGCATTTGAATCCAAATGGCAATGTGGTTTTGGAAGTATTGCCCCCAGACTTCTTCAGCGGATGATCTGAGAAGTTAAGCTCAGGAGTCACTGCTTCCAAGTGCACAAACTGCAGTGGTTGCAATGGTCTGACTGCATAAGTATGGATCACAAAAGGAATTTGCACAGGGTGCTGTTCATCCGGCTCCGCTGCTGAAACAAGTTTGTGAAAAAGCTGGTGACTGGTGAGCAGGATTGGTTGCTGAGATGTAGGGTCCAAAATGCTGACAGCACCTGAACTGCATTCATGGCCCTGCAACAACACATGAAACCGAGGCTTCTTCATGGCCACTGCCACGAAATAGAAGTCGTTGTGAAACCCAGAGAGCTGAAGCTGGAAGAGGCAACCTGGCATCATCACACCTCGGGGGGGCGTGGCTGCAACGCGCGCGAAAGAACAAAGGTCTTGACCAGGTACTGTCAGTCCAGTCCAGCCCATTACAAATTACAAACTTCAATTACAATTCGGACAATTCGCCAATATAAAATTTCAACTGCAAAATCTATCTTCTCAAAATCAAAGGCAAAGAACCACTGCTGACAAAGTCTGCCATGCTGTGGACGAGCTTTGTCAACAGAGTCAAATGAGGAGTCTGTTTGTAAAGGCCCCCATGGTTCTGGAAGCATGTGGTATGATGAGGTTGCAGCTGGCTGGTGTTGAAATCGTTGAAACACTTTGGCGCTTTCGAACACAGCTGTGTGAAGGGCTCCCACTGTTGGCGAATCTCAGTGTCAGTGGCAGCAAGGTCAATCGAGTCAAGGCTGAGAGCACCATCAGCCGAGAATAGCCCAGCATCAACCTCAGCCCATTCAGTGGCATCGCGAAACCTTGAGAAAGTAGCAAGCAACCGTTGCTTGGACACGGTTGTGGATGCTGCTTTGCTCAAAAGATCAGCTGCTGGCATTCCAGCCTGTTCATCCGAACGCACCTTTGGTGTGAAAGGTTCATGGGAAGCATTCTCACGAAGACTTTGTTCCGCAGCTGCTATTGCTTCATATGGGCCTTTCTCTTCAGGAGTCATAGAAGACCAAAGCGCGCTGCGCCTTGCATTCTCTTCTTTCCATTCTCCTGGGACCAATTGCTTCCCAGACATCATCTCTCTCTGGAAGACGTTCCATCCTAGCAGCTTGAAGGGATAAACAAAGTGGGCTGTGGGGAACAGTAGGCAGCCCACAGTCCAACTCAACGGAAAGTATACCAGCAGCATAGACCCCAAACAGTTTCAAAACAATTCATTTGGACCAATATTAATCAGAATCAAACACGGTGTATGCCCTACCGACCTTCCCACACTGACTGGCCAGAAGTCTGTGGCCGGTCTCTGTGACCGGGTCTTGTCCTCCTCTTGTCTCCTCTTGTCCTGCTCTTCTCTTGTCTTCTTGTGGCCGAACGATCAGCGATGTCGACGCTGACAAAAATCATTGATGCAGTTTGCTCTTGAGGGGTGCAGCCAGCTCTTTTTTCTAAGGTAGAACCCCAACAGTAAAGTGTTTGGTGAAAAATCAAATGATTTGAGTTGAGCTGAAATAGTACAAATGGAAATGAAATGAATCAATTTGGCCATGGCTCCACAAAGTTTCCTGGGCGCTTTCATGCGCAACCCAGACTCAAGCATTGACTCCAGCTTCTCACGTGACAGTGGCATCTTGTTGCTGGCCTTCTTTTGCAATCTCTCTGACTCTGGCAATACTACTGTATACTGGTTCGAAGATTTCTTTCCGTACTTGTGTATGCGGTGCCCAAAGTTCACATCTCCGTGCTTATCCCACAGGTATTCACGCAGCTTGGCGTAGGAGCGCAATATCAGGGCCCAAAGTGTTCGCTCTTGAGCGACGGGGTCCGAAGGTTTGCACCCCCTCCACCTGTGTAGAAGATGTTGACTGTAGCCGTGCAGGCACTCTACCAAATCACTTGAGATTGGGCTCATTGCTGCAACGTCTTCCAAGAAAAAACGAAGGCGGACAAGGGACTCAGAGTCAGAATCTTCCATGGAATCCAAATCCAAAAGAATACTGGAAAACTCAGCATCGGTGCACTCATAACATGCAGTCTTCAAGGATTTGAGTCGTGCAATTTCCTGTGGCCATTGCTCCTGGTTGACTGCCAGCAGTGTGAACATTATCCACGTAAAGTGCTGCGTTGGGAGCACCAAGCGCCTCCAATTATCACCCATGGGTTCAATACACATCCGAAAATAATCCATCCCAACGTCAGGCACATGAAGAGTGGGAAACTTTTCCAGCAGCTCCACATAGGCATGGACCAGCTTGGTGCCAAAGTCACCAGATGCAAAGCTCGTGAAAATAGTTTGCGACCTTGGAGAGGTGGCATCAAATGCAACAAACCATCTCATTTCTTGGCAAATTCAACCTAGTCTAGTTTTGAGCTGGCTATGGACAATTGACAGTCAGAGTCAAAGTTAAAATTGGAGCTAATCTGATCTGTAACAGACAGGGCCAGGGCACTTCTTCGTGAGTTCAGGAGTTCTGCAATGATTTCAGTCCGCTGAAACAAACGGTGCTGGCAGCGCACGTTGGGTGCCACAAGAGTTTCCAGGGCAACACTCTTGGAAATGAGTGATGAATCACGGAAGGCAGAAAAAGTAAGCTGCTTCCGCTTCCTGTTGAGCTCCGAATACGATAGCTCCCTCGCATCCAGTATATCGAGCAAAATTCTTTGCCACGTTTCCTGATCTTGACCAGCTTGGTTGTTTGCACTGACATCCCCTGCCACACCGCTTTGCGATAGCCATTCTTCCACCTGGGAATAGCCATGATCAGCATCCCTCCCTGTCTTGTCTTCTGAAAGGTATGCCAGTGTGCGTGGGAGAATCTTGCGCAGGCTGCAGCCCTCCTTACATGGGTCATTGGCAGAAACAGAGCATGAGAACTGGTGAAAATCCAAGACAGCAAATCCCGGGTCATCTTACATCTCGCCAGGAATACCAACCTTCTGACCCTGACCCCTGACTATGTTTTGGGAAACCTTGGAGTCCAACCCTTATAACTTATAACTTTTACTATATTATATTATAACAAGGTTCGCGGACGAACTGAAGAGCCCGATGAGCATGCACCCATCGGTACAGTAGAGGTACAGGATAGCCAAATGAGAATAATAGTGTGAAGAACTTGCGTATTTTAAGTAGACTGTATTGAGCCTTCTGTTCGTGAGTGGTGCCTTCGCAACAGTCACCTTCACACCAATGTGTGAAGTGGTCTCCTTCAGGGTTTCCATTGTCCCACAAAGCCGCTGAACGGTGGAGTGAAAGACGTTTTCTATTCCACCGCCCGGATCTGTCAGTCATCAGTCCACAGATTTCATTGCGTTGGGCAAGCCATTGCCTGTAGGCCGGAGGCTTCTCAGCCACTGGCACGTACTGGTATGAGTCATAGATCACAGCAACTAGTGCCTTGCGGAATTGGATGCGGAAAGACTCAACTTCCATCAAATGTGCCAGTCTGACAACTGATGAGAAGAAACCACTGAAACCAGTCAATAGAACCTTTCTCGATAGGGCGAGTTGGTGAAGCAAGCAAAACACGCCAAGCATGGGAAACACAATGCGGTCTCGAGATTCCAATCTTTGACTTTCCAGATGCTTTCCATGCACGGCTGTTCGAAAATGCTTCAACACTGCCACGTTTGTCACCAATGAATCCATACAAAGACTAAAGCCTTGGATTCTTGCTGAAGTGGCTGCACTTGCGGCGATGCCAAAAGCTGCAAAGCGGGATGAAACCTCACCCAGAAAGAACATCAGCCTGCTGCCCATCTCAGCGCAAAGAGTCTGCTGATCGGTCTTGGGGAGGGACACTAAAGGAGTGTGTACCCAAAACGTCTTGTGTGAGCGGGGCTCCGGACTGTCAACTGCTCCATAACTGCAGGTCAGTGTTTGGATCTGGTTCATCACACTCACCGTTCTGCTTAGTTTCCACTCACGCAAAACCACGCTGGCCAGCCTCACATTGGTATCATCGGCGATGCTGCAAGTAAGTGTGTGGTGCACTTCTTTGTTTTTGGGAAGCTGGTCAAAAAAGGACATCACTCCTTTGCGCCAGCTTTTCAGGTAGCTGAACAAAAGCCTCAATCGTCTTTGACGAGAGGAATGTGGGCCACCAGGTTTATTGATGTCACTTGTTGGCTGCACATCTTTCCTGTAACTCTCAGCTGCATGTCTCTTTCTTGTGTCAATACCGGTTTGCTTGGCCAATCGGCGACGGGCAAATGCAGCAATGGAAGCTGCACGGGCCTTGGCTGTTCTTTGTTGGCGCGCAGTTCTCCTCATGAATTCATCCAATTCATCCTGTCCATTCCTGTCAGCATCTGAACCCTCACCATCACCATCACCAAACAAATTGTGAAAATCGTCATCGTCATCGTCATCGCTGCAAGAACTCCCCCAGTCCCATGCATTTGGGTCATTTGGACTTGAATCACGTGAATCACGTGTGACACTGCCCACATCTCTAGAGTCGGAACTGGAGGCCAGCAAGAGTCTTCTTCGTCTTACTTTCTGGGGTGGAGGACCCAAACTGCTTGATTCAGATTCAGAGTGTGAGCAACACACACTTTGTTCTTCCTGGTCATGCTCTGAGGAACTTGAGGTGACTTTGAAAAGTCTTTGCAGCATAATGGCGCCATGCAGAACTGCGGGTCATTGACTGTTGCGACGTGCGAAATCGGGGGGGCCGGGCTTAAACTGAAGATTGCTAAGGCTATGGCCAATACTGTCGCTATTAAAACATTAACGATGTGATTTGATGATTTTGATTTGTTTATGATGATTCTGATTCTGATATATTAATTCTTAACAATTGCAAATTGGAAACACTGGAAGCATCGTGGAAGAAAGTTCCCTCATCCTTTTGGCTGTGACAGTAAGCTGAAATGGCTGGCTGCTGGCACTGTCCCTCCTCACAACCCGACCCTACAGCATGAATGACCCTTTGAACCTGCATCTCGGTTTCTTGCCTTGTACTGCTCCAAGCCAGGAATGTTTTTCTTGAAGGGCTTCATGATCCCATAAACCTGAGATGACTCCGAATCATTTGAACCGAGTGCTCACGTTCCCTTGACTTCCTGCCCAACTAGTGACTCTGTGACTCTGTGTTATATCATATCAACACGGAATGTCCACTCATCCGTGTTCAACTCAAAGGGACTCAAACTGACTCGATCTTCAAAGTTTTACAAAGTTCAAAGTTCAAAACTCAAAAGTTCAACGCAACAGCAAAAGTAGCATGTGATGGCTTGCCGGCCGCCTGCCCGCCAATTTTCTTGCACAAGAAACTTCTTCAATGCAAAAGGCCCGTGGATTGCGACGTTTGACTGTGCGAAGGCAAGCTTTGACGACAGAAGGCCCTTTCCTGACCGGGGCAATGAGTTGCCTACAGGGCCCATGTCAGATTCTCGTGGAACTGCAACTATATAATAACTATATATAAACTAGGACTAAAACTGAAAATATAACTAATAACTTGAATATAATAGGCCGTTTGCCTGTTGGCTATGGGCCATGGGCCTTTGGGCCACGGCCATGATAAAGTTTCAGTAAGTCAAGGCAAGGCACGCATCAAAAGGGTTGAAGTCTGGCCGCTTTGTGTTTGAGCTCAAGGAGCTGAAGAGAGGACAGGGAATCCCCATGACACACAAATCCGCATCTTGGCTGTCCTGAAGTCAACGCGCAAAGAACATGTGGAACTCTGAGGCAGACTCTGCCCTGCGTGCAACAAATGGCACCCCATGTCTCACATGTCACATGATACATGGAATCGTTGCAAACTCAAGAAAACTTGGCACTCGACTGAATTTGGTTCAGCTACAGTTCAATTAACATTCCTAGAGCGTTAGGATCCTATCCTGTGAAGTACGCTCCGCACTTTTCCGTCGAGACCTAGTCGGGTCCGAAGCTTGTATGTCGTACAGGCTATTTGCGTTGGGTAGGTAAGGATCGCTTCCTTACCGGTTGGCTCCTTGCCAGGTCACACCTGGCTGGGCTTCATCTGGTCACCCCAGATATCACCCGCCCCACTCCTGACTCAGGAGGGGGCATTGCCCAGAACGCTGGGTAGGAGTCAACCGCGCGCGCTACACGCGGACCCCGGATGGCAAAGCATCCTTCAAGATTAGGGAACACCTCACCGAGGGTCTCTAATCAGGGTGGGTCAAAATTGAAAATTTTGAGGGAGGGAGAAAACAAAGAACCTGCCAGTTTGGATCAGACTTGAGCCAAAATGGTGTCAGGTTCTGAACTCTCTAAGGAATGACTACTGTCCACCCAAGCCTGCCAGACCTAAGACAGTCATAAACTTACTGTTACTATAAAGTGGCAAGGGTGAGGGATGGCCAATCGCTGAGAAAGGTCCTGGTCTGCATCGTGCTTCTCACAGCAAACATGGCAGAATGGATTTGTCTCTCGGACGTCTGAGAAGAAGTGGTCCCCTTGGTGAAAAATGAACCGTTGGCGCAGAATACCTGCTCACCTCTGCTTACCATACTGACCATGACCATGCCTGCAAAATCCTGCAAGGACTTGGCCCCATGGACCCATGGATCCAAAACTTGACTCGCGTGGACTGTGTCATGTTGCACCCCCCATGGCCAAGGCACAATCGAAGTGCCTTAAGCACCACTTGCGGCTCTTGGAGTGGATTTCGGATGAACTGACCACCCGCGTGCTGACACCGGTGTAGCTCCCAATGTGTTTCCTGAGCCAAACTCTCATGGCAGACCGGATGACAACGCTCAGCAAGAACTTGACAGGTGGTCGTACTTTCAGCTAGACTAGACTATGCTATAGCTATAACGCCAATGCTGATGCTGTTTCACCTTCCATGATATTGCACCCATGGCCGACGCATGCATTGGGACCAGCTCTCACCTAAATCGCCCTGCAAAAACATCCCGTGGAACCTGTTGTACTGGCAGCATGGCCCTGTCTTGCTTGCCAAGACTCATGATGTATGCTAAAATGCCGGTCCCCTCGCAGGCTCCCCATGCTTTGACCCTGAAGCTGGGCACAGAACGACGAATCAGGTAGGTTTAGGCTGCGGCTTAGGAAGTCGGCGCAGTAAACGAAAAGTGTTTCAAAGGTGGATGGATTTAAATCACGCTGCAGTCAGGCCACGTGGCACCTGGTGCAAAGTGACTTGGGTCGATCTCCAGTTTTTGGAAATACCTCAACCCAGAAGGCAACAAAACACACAAGAAGTCAGAGGACACCCCCACGGTCCGCGCCAGTGATGATGTGACCACATCTGATACTGACTACCAACGATGACAATATCAAGCCGGGACACTGGTGCACCCAAAAGCGAGGGAAAAGTGTCAGGGGCTCCCCGATGCGCTTCATCACCGCCACAAACTCCTCAATGACTCAATGGCCAAAACTCCAAAACTGTGTAAACCAAACAGGCCGCCAAAAGCCGTGCCAAATATATGCCTTCAGTGGCCATCAACAGCTACCCACATGGCGCTCCCCAACTGTGTGGCCAAGTGTCCCCGGAACCTTTGTGAACTTCAGAATCAGAGCGTTGTTCTGATGCATCCACCTGGGACCCAGGACTGAATGGTAGGATTTGTGTCGAGCTTGCACCTATCACAGAGGGCTCAGTGGGCAGTGGCAAAGATAACATAACGTAACATAACTAAACTGTGTAAGTCTGTTTGTAAGTCTGTAAGCCTTGCAGTCGGAACAATAGAACTGAACTAGAATCATCACATCTGCATCTCCCAAGCACACGTGGTCACCACATTTGAAGTGGTGAAACTTGAAAACGTAAAATCGACTCTTTAGTGCCAAAGGTCCTGTGAGTCCTGTTCTTCTGCGCTGCTGCTCCCACTCTCATTTGAAGAGGCTGCAGGTAGCAAGGGATTTCTTCTCTTCATGGCTACCTTCCCTTCCCTACTACCCGGACCCAGATTTGACCACCTGGTGGTCAAGTGCCTCTCTGCCAAAAATGCTGCGACTGAGTGTGTGAAAGTGTGAAAGGCAAACTGCCATCATTCACAGCCTATCACGTCACATCAGTCAATAGTCCAGTCACAGTCTCATTGTTAATTATCCTCCTGTATTATCTACTTAGACTTAGATTTAGATGATCTAATGATCTACTGATCG